TTTTTTTTTTTTTTTTTTTTAAAGGATATATTTTGTAAAACAGAGAAAAAGCCCAAACAGACGCTGCTTTTTCCCAGAAGGTTTTTCACTCCAGATGGACTTTATTTTCTAATGGGTTTGGCTCGGACCTCCTATTTATTTCAGCGGATGGATGAATCATGTGGGTGCCCAGAGAAGTGCCTGGGCTGGCAACAGCAGAGAGAGGAGGAGGAGGAGTCCCTCTCCTCTCAGTCTGCTTGGTTTGTTAAGGAGCTGAGCATCTGGAGCCCTGGAAGGTAAATGCAGCCCTCGGGAGGTTGCTGGCTGGGCCCTTTCCCCAGCACTGCTCCCCTGGCTGGCTTGCTGATGGGGGCAGGGATGGGGTCAAGCTCTCAGGGCAACAGGCTCTCCCTGAGCAGGAGCCAATGCATCACATCCACTGTGAGCCTTCAACATGGGACTCCAGCGAGGTGTATGGGTGAACCGTGCCTCCTGGGCCAGACCATGGCTGGTGCAGGCCAGCTGGTGTCATTTCTGCTTCCCCATGCTGCACTACTTAAGGGGCTAGGGGGAGGAGGTGGCTTCAGGAGCGCTTGGGGTGGGTCCAGACAGGTCAAGGGTCAGCAATGCCAGAAGAAACTCTGGCTGCCACAGGCCTGACCCTTTCCACAGGGATCTGAGCTATGCAGTAGCCGGGGCGAGAATTCAGGTGTGGCCCTTTGGGGCACTGGTTTGGGTCGGTGCCACTGGACAAAGCTGCGGGGTGTCATCTCTGCAGTCCCAGCACAGGGCAGTTGGAGGCTGCTGGGTGCGACTGCAGTGTGGCACTCCCTGGGGTCACAGCCGTGTCTGTCTACCCCCTACCCCATCTCTGTCATGCCACATGTAGGCAGGGTCCATCTTGCCCAGGGAGCTGCTCTTCATGGGCCTCTCCAGGGCTGGCAGCTGTGGAAAGCATCTCCCCTCATCTCCAAGTCTCCTTCTCAGCAGGGGATGCTGTGACATGCCCACCCTCCCGCAGCAGCAATAGGGGAAGAGCCATTAGTCAGTCACAGCAGTGAGCTTTTACCCTGGGAGTGAGCTGGCCATTGGGGGCATCATGACTCGCTCAGCCAGGGGTGAGTGTGGATGATGATGGGGCTGCTCTCCTGCCACTGCTTGCTCAGAGCAGATGTTTCCTATTAAAGGAAAATTTTAAATTGCAGCTAAGCGCCATTAGCAGGGACATTTTAGGCATCGCTGGCTCCATCATATTCTTAAAGTGGAAATAACAGAGTGTGTGCATTGTTATGTGGCAGCCTGGGCTGTGGCATGGTGGGGAGCTCAGGCCCATGGGCATCTGCAGGAAACGGATTCCCTGGCCCTGGGCACGGATCCCACACTGCTCTCCTGCCCATCCAGGGCCTGGCTGCTACCCTCAGCTGTGGTGAGTAGTGAGGGAGGAGCCAGAGGGGGTAGGGAGTGAAGCTGCCTGAGGACTGGTGGTGGAGCCAGGCCTTGGGGAAGGGCAAGGAGCAGTAGGGCAAAGGGAAGCCACAGCTGCAGGGAGTTAAGGTGCCTCCTGCCTTAGCACAGACAGGGGCTTGTGTGCGTGCGTGCATGCGTGCCAGCACTGGACCTCAGCTGGGAGGACTCCTGCCTGAGCTTGGCATATGCCTGAACCTAACTTCAGGAGCACGGGGCTCTGTTAAGGAGGTGGTGGCAGGTGCAGTTCAGCCCATACTGGGAGGGCAGCTGCTGTCTATTAGCACAGGGTGGAAACCCCATCAGCAGCCCAGGGCTTGAGCTCCTGGGTTTGGGGGAGCTTTCCATGTCCAAGCACAGAGAGGGCTGTTTGGAGATCACAGGCATGTGTGGTCACCGCTGAAGGGGTGTCCAGAAGCAGATGTGTTGGAGCAGGGACTAGTCCACTCCCAGGTATAACCCGTAGAGTAGTCATTAGACCCGCTCCAGCACAGCAGACCAATTGTGACTGTCTGACCCAGAAAACTCAGCCAAGTGGTGGTAAGAGGCCAGCCTATTAGTGCCTAGTTAAGTGGCTGGCTGGGAGGAGTGCAGGGCTGATGCTTCGGGCTCAGAACAAGGCAGCATGGTCTTTTCTTGTGAGACATTCTCGTTTTGTGCTGCGGCCTCGGCAGCCCGCGGCTGGGGGGCCTGTTGCTCTGCCTTCCCCTGAGAGCTGCTTGCATTACTTTGAGGGCCCAAGTGAAATCACCGCTTTGCGGGGCTAGTTGCTCTAGAGTAGTGGTTCTCAACCATGTTGGACTCAAGCCACCCAGGCTCATGACACCCTTAAAAAATGGCAGCTTAGTTTTCACTTGTTTTTTGACTAGAGAAAAATAATAGAGCAATTCCTCTGTTGCAAATAACTTGGAGAGGCAACAGCAGAGCAGAATGCTTTTAACACAGTGATTTCTGTTTGAAATCTCTGGGTTCGTCACTGATATGTCTTGGAGGGAGTACTGTGTCCAGTTTTACCCCTCTTCCCCTCCACTACAGAAAGCATGTGGGCAAATTGCGGTCCAGTGGAGGGCAACGAAAATGTTCAAGTGGCTGGGGCAGATAACTTATGGGGAGAGGTTGAGGGAACTTCAACATGGGCTGATTTAGGCTGCAGAAGAGAAGACTGAGGTGGGACTTAATAGCAGCTTTCAACCACGTGCAGGGAGGCTCCAAAGAGGATGGAGCTGGACTGTTCTCAGTGGGGGCAGATGACAGAACAAGGAGCAATGGGCTCAAGTTGCAGCAAGGGAAGTTTAGGTTGGATATTAGGAAAAACTTTCTCGCTAGGAGGTTGGTGAAGTGCTGGAACAAAGAGGTTGTGGGATCTCCATGCCTGAAGGCTTTTAAAACCTGGCTAGACAAAGCCTTGGCTGGGATGATCTAGTTGGGGACAGTGCTGCTCTGAGCAGGGGGCTGGACTAGATAACCTCTTGAGGTCCCTTCTAACCCTAACTTTCTATGATTGTATGTGTGCAAACACGCTTCATAACAGTGCTAACATTGTGTGGCACCCTCAACATCCTTAAAGAGATCGCAAGGTGCCCCAGGGTGCTGCAGCACCCTAGGGGAGAATCGCTGCTCTGGAGATGTGTTGTGGTAGAGTGGGTCCTGAGCTCTGGGGTTGAGGGGTTGGATGATCCCTGTCCCAGCAGCCTCACAGTCTAAACAGACTTAAGTGTAGGAGAAAGAGGGACTTGTCCCTAGTGACACAGAAGAACAGCGGCAGAGCCAGGGATAAAACTGACTCCTCAATGTCATCCAGTGGGCAGGGTCAGGCCATATCTCAGCATCTTTGTGGCAGCTGCAGGAGTTGTGAACCTTGTTCGGGGCCTGAAGGCCTCCAGAGAGGGTTTCCCCAGCAGGCAATGTGCTCTGTCCTGGTGGCACCTGGTGAGCAGCCAGGGAACACCTTCTTGGGAACAAACATGGGGAGAAGTTGCCACTTGCTGGAGCACGGCTAGGCGTGGGAGCACCCAAGTCAAGAGTGGAGCCATGGGACCTGCCCACTGGTAGGTGGGGGTCAGGAGGAAGGGCATCTCACTCCCTGACATGCTCTATGCACGCTCATTTTTCACGGCAGCATGGCCTACTCCCCCGGCTGGGCACAGGAGTCCTGTTATTTACTGCAGCCATCAATGTCCTCCTGGCTGGGGCGGCACTGATTGATTTGCAGCTGAGCAGGGCGAGCACTGTAGCACCTGCGATTCCTTTCTACATGGCTGCTCAGCAGGGAGGCAATAAATCCTGTGCTCACCTACTTCAGCCTGTGGCCAGCAGTGCTCCAGGCTAAGGCCCTTGCTCACAGTCCCCTCCTGCTTGGAGTAGTAAAGCAATTCTGTCTTCGTAGGATGGTGTAGGGAGAGATGGGAGTGGGAGCTGGATGACTCCGGACAGCACAGAGAGCTGGTTGTGGGAGGCAAGTGCCCAGGAGGAGCAAAGGAAGCTTTGAGAGGTGAAGGAGGGGCGTTGGCTTTGGGGAGGGGGAAACAGGTGGGTCCAGGGCCTGGGGTCACCAGAGCTGCAGGTGCCAGGAGAAGGGAGGCGGGAAGGGGTCCTCCTTACTCCCTGCCCCCTGTGCCATCCCCATGTGTTTTTTTGTAGGGCGTCTCCTGCCCCCACTGTTTGCAGTGCCCCTTGGTTTTGGAGACTTGTAAATAAAAGATTTTGACATTCACACTGGGGCCTCCCGTGGTTCCTCCTCCCTCGCGCTCAGGTCTGTGTTCACCCTGCATAGCACTGCTTACCCCCATGGGCTTGCAGGCCTTTGGACCAGCTGCAGCTCTCAGCAGAGCATGGCCTGTTTCTCCAACCCTTGCACATGCTGTCACCAGCAGCACAAGCTCCCTGGAGCAGACTCCAGTTTACCCACCCACGTGACATCCCCTTTGCACCGGTGCAAGTGGCTGTGGCAGGCACGTGGTGCGTCGGGACCGATGCTGGTTGCCCCAGTCTGTGCCTGTCTTTTACTCCTGAGGCTCCCTGCTGTTTGGGTGGATGGGGTTTCATTGTGGCAGGGGATGCTGGAGGGGAGAGATGGGCCCCTTCTCCATCCTCAACCGCTCTCTGGGACAATGAAGAACTCTCCTGGGGTTGCTGCAGGGAGCTCTTTGGCCATGCACTGTATTCCAGGGATCAGCAAGTGGGTGAGGGATGGGGATTGCATGGGGCAGACTGGCCAGCTGTTCTCCTTGATGTTCCAGCATGTACCTCCTCTTCAGAGGAGATCAACCACTGACTGCATCCCCTGGTCCCCAGGCACTTTGCAACTCTGTGCAGAGGGGCAGCACCCCGTGTGACAGGTGCACTCTCGGTTCTACAGATGGGGAGACTGAGGCACACGTGCTTCAAGTGACTTCAGCAAGGCCCTGTCCCCTGGCGATTGCTTCCTCAGGAAGGGGCAGGGAGTATTGGTCTGGGATGCTGGGGGTGCAAGGGATGTTGGTCTGCCCTGCTGCCTGCCTCGCACACGAGCCAGCCCCTCAGGC